AGAAGAAACGTTCTTCGCCCGAGCTTGCGCCCAACCGGACGCGAGAGACAAACCCATGAAGAAAAAGGCGTGCCCGACCGGCGATGCACCGTCTGACCGGGCGCGTGTTTTGGAGTATGATTTCCTACGATTTTTACTTAGTTTCTAATTAGGATTTTTAAGCTTTGTATAAATACTTTTTTTTAGTCTTGATACAATTATCTCTTTCATTAGCTAAAATTCTCTCTTACACTTTGTTTGGATAGGAAGAAATGGAAGGAAAAGAAGAGAAGAGAAGAGAAATGGAGGTGGAAAAAATCTCTTGTTTGGGTAAAAGATTGGGGGAAGGAAGGGGAAGGAGAGGGAGGGATCCATTTTCCCTCTCTCTTTAATAACCATAGTCTCTCCAAAATTGGAGAGATTTGGAGGGAAAATGGAGCTCACCTCCCCCTCCCTTTCTTTTCCCTTCCCTTCCTCCATTTTCCCTCCACTTCTTTTCCTTCCTTCTTTGCTATCCAAACAAAGCGTTAAGCTTTGACTTCTCTCTGTTTTATCTCTCTACAACTCTTGGTTTTTATACAATTCATTATTTCTGTTAATTTTGGTAACAATTTCTTCCTTTTTATTTTCAGTAATGTATTTGCTTTTATTCATCATGTTTTGTTTAGTTGCTTTGATTAGTTTAGATTTAATTATGTGTGATTAGATTAATTTTTAAGATTGTGGGGATCCATAAATAATATGAAGGGGTATTTTATTATTGTTAATTGTCAATGCAAGATTAATTAGGAAGGGTAACGATTTCTTCCCTTTTATTTTTAGTAATATTTATTTGCTTTTATTAAATAATATGAAGGGTAATAATATGAAGAGGTAATTTATTATTGTTAATATGAAGGGATCCATAAACAACTCGCAAGGGCGGCGGGGGTGAGATTTTGAGAATCGATCCTAGAAGGATAGAATCACCCAAAATTAGGAGGGAAACTTTAACTACTTGATCTATCCATCACTCTCCTTTTCATTTTTTAATAAGGTTAAGTCTTGTGCCATACACGGTACCTTTCAATATATATATATATATATATATATATATATATATATATATATATATATATATATATATATATATATATATATATATATATATATATATATATATATATATATATTGTAGGGTTTTAGGTACTCTAAGCGGAATTTCATGAATCACATTCATACGCACTTAAATAGGATCTCATGCATATACAAATAAAGATCACATAATAGTTTAGAATTAACCTTTGAAGCGTGAGTCCTCTTAGCAATCTTCTTCTCTACCGGAGATAAAGAGCCTCAATTGTAACTCCTCTATTTAGTCCACCGGATTGAATCAACACTCCACCAATGCTAGTGGACGGGAAAACCTTTCACCTTTCTTGGAGTTGAGAACCAATTTTAGAGAGAAAAATATTGAGAGAAAAACTTACGTTGTTTTCAGAAAATTGAATACAATATATTTTTATTATCCCTAACTAATTAATATATAATCATATTATTATTAATTAGGTTAGGGTTTTCTCTCCCCTTTCCCTTTTTGGCCGGTCACCCTAAGGCCCACTTTGGGCTTCAGTTTCTTTATTGATCCAATCCTAATGTGTGACCTTGTAGGATCTGTTTAGTCGGGCTTCGGGTTTGTTACTTACTAACCCAAAGTTCTATATCATTCTCTAGCAAGACGTATAGACGACCCAAATAAACGAATTACTATCTCCATAATACGATCCATAATTATATTAAGTAATTTCACTAAAGTCGAGGACACATTTCCTTCAATCTCCTACTTGTCCGAGACAAGTATGCAATATTCAAATTCCTTAAGTCTCTTAGTGTCTAATTTGATAGTATTATCACATCTCTATGCTATCCATACTAGCGTTCAAATTATTTCTTGAAATCCGAGTTTGAATTGCTAAGCAAATGATCTTCTTCTGATCCATTTGAGCACGGCCATGCATTTTCAATTCTTACTCTTCAAGAGGCCAAGGCACCTATCCTATCTAACGTAGGAGGACATATTCAATCTTGTGGCAACCAAAACTCCCGCTCAACTTTTAGCACAACACGAGTGTCGCTTTTATAGTCCCCTTTTACGGCATGACGTTTGACAATGATAACACGATATTATACACGATTTATATGTGATATTTGGTCATGTTTTATTGTGTTTTCTTCATTCTCTTAATCTTTTTGAGCTATTATTCTTCCTATTTCGATATTGCTCTTCTCGGTTTGTTTGTTTTTGTTTTTATAGGAATATGGCTCGATTTGCGTGGAATTTGTTTTAATCGCGAGATATTTCTTTATATGGAGCGTTTCTAGCACCAATGGAGCATCAATGAAGCATTTAGGCAGCCTACTCCACAACTCGGTTGTGGCGTGCAATCTGTTGGCCACAACCTGGTTGTGGGCGTCTATATTGGAGCAAGGGAGAGGCGAAGGCAGCCCGCTCCACACCCTGGTTGTGGCGGTTTTCTTCGTGCCATAACCTACCTGTGGCAGCTCGTTTCGGTGGCGTTTGAAAGTCCTATTTAGATAAAAATATCTACTTTTATTCTAGGATATAAATAGGTTTTAGATAATCTTTTATTTATCAATTTATCACTTTTTCAGATATTATTTTAGAATTCTTTTTGGGTATTACATTCTTCCATATTATTTTCCAGGGTTTTGCTTTCAAGATTCAAGATTTCATAATTAATTTCAAGTATTGATTTCTTCTCTCAATTCTCTTATTTTATTATTGTTAATTATGTTTTCTTTATTGATTATTATTCTTGATTTCATTAATATGTGTGAGTAGTTTCCCTATTCCAAGATCTAGCGGAACCCAAATATGATTAATGCTTGATTTAATTCTTTAAATTCTCTAATGATGGTTTCAATTGATATGCTTAATTGATTGTGCTCATGCCAATACTAGATTAGGGATAATTGGTATTGTTATTAATCCATTGTTTTAATCGCAACGGGAGTTGGGTTTTGACGGGTTTGAATAAATCAATTAAGGGTTTGAAGTTCATCACGGGAGTAGTTGAATGGATGATTAGGAAGTTAGAGTAATGTGCTCAAGGTCTTTAATTTACATGATTCCACGGAAGTAGGCTTGATTGTGATTAGAGAAGCCATTGATAACTCGGGAGAGGCCATTGGTACTATTTAGGGATTACTTTTCCTCTTTAATCAATTGAATTATATGTTAGGGGTAGAACTATTATTGCATTAATTGTATTCGTGGTAATGCTTGATCTTGGATGTTTTTAGTATTTGATTATCATTTTTTTCTTAGTTTAATCGTCGCTCTTGATATTTAGTTATTAATTCTCAATTATTTGATTTGGTTGCTTGCTTAGTATTTACTTGAGTCTATTTAATTAGTTGAACCATAGTCTCTTGGGATCCGACCCTTACTTGCCCGTCTACATAGTAGTGGTTTAGTTAGGTTTATTTTTTTTTAGGTACGCGACACGCCTATCAAATTTTGGCGCCGTTGTCGGGGACTAACGGTTTTACACTAGTTATTTGTGATTCGTTTTTACTAAGCTTTATTTGTTGCTTCAGCTATTGTCTCTTGTGTTTTTGATTTCTTTGCTTTTAGTTCTTTGTTGCATGCAAACTCGACGTTTAGGGTCAGACGATTTAATTCCATTTGATTGTGAAATTGAAGCAACAGCAAGGAGACGAGGAGGTAGAAGAAGAAGGAGAAATCAAAACCATAGAAACATGGTCGATCTAGGAACAAAGTCTCTTTTGGAGTATGGTATTCCTGATACCACAACCGGACTCCTCTTCAGCATTTTCAGACCACCTATTACTGCTCAGAACTTTGAATTGAAACCACATTTCATTCAATTCATCTCAAATGATTCGTTTGTAGGCACACCTCATGAGTGCCCAGTCAGTCATATTGATAGTTTCTTGGAAAAGTGCGATACTACGAAACTAAATGGCGTTACAGATGATGCTATTAGACTTCGCCTTTTCCCTTTCTCATTACGGGATAGAGTGAAGGAATGGTTGAGAGATGAAGGTACTGGATCTTTTGACACATGGGACAAACTGGTGAAAGCTTTTCTAGTCAAGTTCTTGGGATAGGAAAAGACTGTAAGGTTGAGAAATTAGCTATTTACTTTCGGGCAGTCAGATGATGAGTCCTTATATGAAGCATGGAGGAGGTTCAAGCGATTGCAAAGACAATGACCTCACCATGGTATTCTTGAATGGATGTTGATCCAAACCTTGTACAATGGTTTAACTCATGAGTTCCGAATATATATTGATGCTGCATCTGGGGTTCTCTCTTGACTAAGAACCCAACTGAGGCAAAGTAGCTAATTGAGAAGATGGCGGCAAATGATAATTACCACCCAAGAGGAGGACGTAATGTTAAAAAGGGAGGTATGCATGATGTTGATGCTCTAACCCTTTTAACTAGCTCTATGCAGGCATTGACAAGCAAGTTTGACAAGTTCCAAGCAACATCTTCTAGCTCATCTGCTAAAACTTGTCAAATGTGTAATGTACAAGGTCACATTGCCCCTGGTTGCCCACAATATTCACATGAGATGTCGATTGAGGAAGCCAATGCATTCTACACTTCAAATCCCAAAAGGCCATATGATCCTCACTCAAACACATACAATGAAGGTTGGAAACATCATCCAAATTTCTCTTACAAGAATACCCAAGCTCAAAAAAATCCACCTCCACCACCACCTTGAAACAACAATTATAATGCTCCACCCGGTTTCCAAGCAAGACCACCTTTAGTCCCACAACATATGCAACCACCTCCACAAAAATCCAACCTTGAGCTAATGCTTGAGAACTTCGTTACCACAACGAACAACAACATCCAACAACTACAAGCTCAGAACAAGCTCATGGAAAATCAAATAAGTCAACTTGCTCATCAAGTTGGCCAATCTTTGAAGACTCCGGGCGCTTTTCCGGGTCAAACATAGCAACCACCAAAAGGACAGATGAATGCTGTGACTTTGAGGAGTGGAAAGCAGTTGGAAGATCCTCCCACGAGGGAGCCATCCAAGGAGGTTGTTGATGAGGTAGTCCCAAAAGAGAAGGTGGTCGATGGTACTGAAATTGAGGAAGAGCCAAGGGCATCAACTCCACCACCACTTATTCCATATGTACCGCAAGTTCCTTTCTCGCAAAGGTTGGCTCAAGCTAAGTTAGAGAGGATGTATGGAAAATTTCTTGATATTTTGAAGAAGCTTCACATCAACATTCCGTTCTTAGATGCAATATCCGAGATGCCATCTTATGCAAAAATTTTGAAGGATATGCTCTCTAACAAGAAGAAGCTAGAGGAGAATGCTACTGTTGCGTTGAATGTAGAGTGTAGTGCTATTTTGAAAAATACACTTCCTAAGAAATTAGGTGATCCGGGTAGCTACTCAATTCCAGTGAAGCTTGGGGATATAGAGATCAACAAGGAATTATGTGATCTTGGTGCAATTGTGAGTCTCATGCCGCTCTCTATCTGCAAGAAACTTCAAATGCGTGAATTAAAGCCTACACGCATGTCTCTACAACTTGCAGATAGGTCAGTTAAATTTCCCTAGGGTATACTTGAAGATTTTCCTCTTCATGTGGGAAAATTCTTTATCCCATGTGACTTTGTTGTGATGGAGATGGAAGAGGATGCACATGTCCCGGAAAGATTTAGCGCCAGGCGCTGGAGTAGGGTCCTCCCTATTCTGCTACACCTGTATTTATCTTGACTATAGAACTTTGCCAATATCATTAATAATCTTAGGGTTGACCTGAGGTTTTGCATCGCTTGACTCATTGACTTGACACGACTCAAGGCGTAAACTTATCTCGCTGTGATCGACTGACTCGAGGTTGACTCAACTCAAAGTGAAACGACACATGTGACTCGTGACCCGTGTGTGCATTGTAATGTGATCGTGCGACTCGAAAATGCAAAAAGCAAATATTTTTCGGTCATTTTTGTGGAGGGTACCGACTTTCTCCCAAAAAAAGAAGACGCGAAAATAAATCGAAGTGAAGTTTTTGAAGGTGCATGTTGAATGAGCTTGGTTAAATGTTGTTTGATACTATCTCTCAAGGTGCAAGGATTAATCCATCCTAGTCTATCTCAATGGTTGACTCAATGATGAAAGTATTTGGGTAACTTAGGCACGGAGGCTAAGCACTTCATACTTCAATGTGATGCAATGACAATTATGACTGATGAGTGATGTTGACAAGGCATGCTTTATGCGTTAAGATTTCATGATAAAGGGTTCCTAAGGGAAATATATTTGGTCATGTATCTGTGCGGTGTGTGTGATAGTGACACTAAAGCTAGGCCACAAGGGCTAAGTGTGTGGGAAAATATTGTTTGTTAAAAGAGTCAAATGACGGTGACTTTTAGGCTAGGTAAGCTAATGATGTAGGGATCAAGCCCCCAAGTCTAGCTCTACATGAATAGGGATGAGTATAGGAGATCCCTTGATATGATCATGGTGTAAGTGTGTGAATGTGAATATGAATGCATGTTTATTACGGCCGCACCTCAATGTGAGGTTGCCTACGTATCTGTTAGGAATCAGGCCGAACGTAGCTCTAGTCGAACCTCGCACAAGTGTGTATACCTCAAAAAGTTCTTTTTAAGGGTTGTAACATGGTTAGCCTAAAGGTTTGAAGAAGAAGGGGATAAAGGCTCAAGACCCTAGATAAGCCCCCAACGTGTGCAACCTCGCTTTTGAATATTTGTATTTTCATGCTTGAGGTTTTCTACTCTTTTTTAGCTTTTTCTTTTGCTTTAGCATCTATTATATTTTAATAAGTGTGGGCAATCCCGATCATGCGGTCTATCACTCACTTGGCATTCATGTTTCTTAGGCACGGTATCGAGCATTCGATAAGAGACGCAATCTGAGACGTGTTCTTATCGAAGATATTTTCATATCAAAGACATTGGAACACTTACCCTTTTGTACACTTTATTTATTTATTTTTGCTTATTTTACTATTTTAATTTTTTGAATTTGCTCAAGCTTTCTTTAGAATTACAAAAGTTGCACACCATCCCATCCCAAGGTTAGGTAGATGTATGTTGAAAAAAGAAAAGTCTATTGTTAGACGAGGCTCAAAGTGGTTTATGAAGAAAGGATGTATAATTGAAGGGTGAAATGAGATATGATGTAGCTACAAGGGGTGCCTCAAATCATTGGTATACCTTGTGCTTAATTCGACATGGATTTTTTTTTTTGTTTTTTTTAATTTTTTTTAATGCAATATAATGAAATGATCATATATAAGGAAATCAATGCTCATTTTTATTAAAAGAAAAGGGAAAAGAAAGAATCTACAAAATTAATCTAAGGGAAAAGAAAAGGTGCATATGTTAGACTTATTGGGGAAAGAGTAAATAAAAAAGAAATAGAAAAAAGAGGTCACGAAATCTTGAAGCTCGCCTCTTGTCTTGTGTTGTGTCCTTTATCATCACTCGCTCTTCTTGTTAGGAGGAGGCATGGGAATCTTGTTATTATCAATCAAATGTTGGATAGCCTCCTTTAGCTTCCAACAGCTCTCAGTAGTATGACCCCTACCTTGATGGTACTTGCAGTGTTCGTCTGGATTCCAACTAGGCAATCTCTTTTCAGGTGCAGGATCTTGAATAGGTCCAATGGGAGTAATGAGTCCTTTGGCATGGAGTCGATCGAATGCAGTATCGTAGCTCATCCCAATGTGGGTGAAGTATTTCCTTAGTTGCTTCTTAGATCTTTGGTTATCTATGGCTAAAAGTTCACTGATATCATAGGTACTAACATTGTTACTAGAGTGGGCGTTTTCAGAAGAAGAAGAATTGTCGTTCTTCTTTCCTTTCCAGCCACCATGGTTACTATTGTTAGTAGCTTTTTTCTTTGCGAGGTCATCTTCGATTTCAATTCCGATGTCATAAATGGCCTTGAAAGTATTCATATTGTGTTGATATTTTAAATGCTTCGAATACTTCTCTTGGAGATTCTTGATAAACATCCTCATAGACTCCTTTTCAGTGGGGACCTCAATCATCTTGGCGGAAGTTTCCCTCCATTTATTAAAGAAAGAAGTAAAGCCTTCATTCTCTTTTTGTCTTAGCATCTCAAGTTGTCTATGGTCGGTTTCAACTTGAATATTGCACTTGTACCTATCAACGAAAGCGTTTACTATCGATTCCCAGGTAGAGGTTTTCTCTTTCTCGATAGAAAAGAACCATTGTTGACAAACGGTTTCGAGAGATAGTGGGAACAAAGAGGGGAAAACCTTCTTATCGATACCCTTAATGCTCATTATAGTTTCAAAAGCTCTTAGATGGAAGTAAGGGTTATTTGTTGCCTTGATTGTAGGGATGTTAGTGGCGTTGAACTTATGCGGAAGAAGTTCCTTGTCCAGCGAGACCCCTTGTGAACTCATGCCCTAAAATTTATAGTCATTAGATAGCTTGCTCAAACTTTCTTGCATGAGGTCCATCTGTTATTGCTTCATGGGATCACCGATCTTGAGCGTAAGGAGCTTTAGTGTCTTAGTCACGGTAACCAATTGGTTCCTAAGATCATTGACTTCTTCTTGAATTGCCATTATCTTTTTAGCCTTCCTCTTTTGACGAATCGGTTTATCAAAAAGGGAAACTTGAATAAAGAGGTTGTCCTTGATTAATCGCCCTTCTCTCCTCTACCAAGTACTGTGGAAAAGGAATTTGGGGATATTTATTGTTAATTATTTGTCTCAAACTTTATTCAACATGCAATGGAGGAGGAAGTGAATAAAGATTGGAATAGAAAGTGAAAAAAGAAAAAGATGATGGAGGTGGAGGGATATGAAGGATTAGGAATAGAAAATACCCCCCAAATTAAATGACGGAAAAGACCGACCCATGCATGAACCTAAGACATGGTCATGGTGACATATACTCAAAGTGTGTTCTAAGACTAGTGAGTGTAGATGGTGCGTTAAGACTCGTGTCACGACCATGTGGCTAGACTATGACTAGACTCGATTAAAGACTAAGTTAAGACCTCACGTATATGCATTAAACTGGACAGACTGTGGTATTTAAGTCATATATTTTTATATGTGACTCTGACTTGTATGAAACCAACGCCAAATTAGAGATAAAACTCGGGGCTACAGATCCATAGGCTGTACGACTCGTAGTTCTTTCTAGAACTCCAGCTATGACCAAAACAAGTTGATGCTTGTGCAGTATACGGGAATAAAAATCCGGGTTGACTTAAAGGAACTATGACTCGATTTTATATTTATTTATTAGCTCAAATTAATTAATTAATTAATTAAACAAAGTCCTTTAGTCATTAATCAGTTTATTTAGTCTTAACACAAGTCAAACAAACGGTTAGGAAAAATCACATAGAGTATGCACAACAAATAATGCACAATTAGTCAAGTAGGCACAATATGATGCAATGAGTTTGCAACCTAACCATGGCTCTAGTTCTCTAAAGTTCGGGATATGGTTTAGTCAAAGAGGGTCCATGGTTAATTGTCCGGATGCACCGCGTCGAAGCCTAACCATGAAGGGTTGGCGCGAGTGGATGGGACACCGCGAGTTTAGAAGAACTCGCTTCCATGGTTTGGTGAATTCAACATTCTCGGATGTACCCTTTGTTGCGCGGAGCGTTCAATCGGGTAGATGGAGCATGAATTCCCAGAAGGTTATTTCCATATGTAGAACACATATGGGTTTCAGAAAAGTGAGAAAAAATTCAATCAGGAAGTAGGATCGAGCAAACAATACGAAAAAACGGTCGAAATTAGAACGCATATTTCTGGCTCGGTATTGGGGGAAATTGGCGCCAGCAATCAGAGACTGGCGCCACCTTTTAACTGTAGCATCTGGCGCCAATACTGGCGTCTGGCGCTACGACTAAAGTGCTGGTGTCAAGCTCTGGCCCCTGACGCTACTTCCCACATGCCTCAACAGCTTTCTGTGCTCGATAAAATTTTCTTGTTTCGCGCGGTGTTATTTCAGTCCTAGTTGTGAAAGATATTTCTCAAATTTCCTACGTGTAAAATCCTATGTTTTTAACTCATTACGAATGGTCTTTCCAATGAGATCTTTTTTATGCATATGACAATAATGTTAATGAGAATTACGCACATCAAATACTTAGAACGTTTCGAGTATCATCCACTTATTCTAAATCATTGCCGAAACAAATTCAGGAATTAAATAGAAATCCTCCCCAGAAGAGTCGCCAAAAACTGTAGGGAATAAATTTCAAGCATTAACCCCTAGCTTGAACCCGACTGTGATCATACACTAAAGTACGGTGGCGTCCAAATGGGAAGAAGATAGAGCAAAAGAGTCGCCAACAAGTTTTTTAGGAACTTGTAAACCGTTCACAGGGTGAAGGTTACACCCCTTAACGATCCAAGAGATCGTCAACTCCATAAGGTCTAGAACCAAATAAGGGTTCGGGGATGAAGGTACAAATCCAACCTAAAAGAGATTGAACCTGCCCTAATAATAGGCCTCTACTTTATTCTGATCGTATTCATGTGCGCTTTCTAATTAACATGCAATCAATAGGATTAACCCTAAACATGT